AAAAAAAAAAAAAAAATTACATCTTGAATTTTAAAATTCAATGACCCAAAGGGTGGTTGCAGATAACAAACGGATGGCGGATGTTAAGGGGATCGTTTTGGGTAGCATAGGTTGGCGTGAACGTTGCTAACGCGTCCGTCTTTCCCTACTGTGAGTCCAACCGGTCGGGTCGCTGGTTCGAGTTTATTTGATTTGTAGTTCTCTCCTACGCTACGAGGGTTTTCTCCGGGTTCTCTGGTTTTCTCCTTCCGTTTTGTGCATAGAACATTGAATGGTAGTGTGTGTGTGTGAAAAATTTCCGCAATTATTGCGAAAGCGCTAGAACGACTAGACACTTAAATAAAGATATTTATTATTTCATTTTATTATATATAACTAGATATTACTATTTCTTTACTTAACTTACTCTGTAATTTCTATTCGAAATCATTATTAAGAACAAATAAATAAATTAACTTAAACGAAGCAAAATTAATTTTAAATCTCAAAGCGGTTGTTTTGCTTGAGTCTGGTGTTAGTTCTGAGAAAGATGCAGAGAGAGATGTTATCATTATAATTATTCATGTTATTATTATACCTAACAAATAATCCTCCAAATCACATCATTATCGTATTTTAGTCACTTGGCGATCCACTTTTTTCTTCGATATTGGACAGCGATATTGGCATCCCATGCGCGGTGAGCCTTCTTTCCTGTATTTCACATACATTTCTTGACAATTATTTCACCCAAAAAATATGCTTTTATTCAAAAATGCCTGTCTTCGTTAGTTTAAGAGCAAAAATAATCTCTATGAATCTTTGCAATTTTACTATTATTGTGGCCCAGGTATTTCCACAAACGTACTTTTATTACATAAACGCTTAGCAACAATATTACAACATGGGGGCTCTTCACACCTCTCTCTCAGCAGACAACCCTCGTGGCCGCCCCAGTCCCTTGCGGTACCCGGATATACAGGCTACCCGGCCACACTCTCTCCCCTCACGAAATATGTCGTCCTCGGCATCTCTGCTTATATGAGATGAAATACGATTATTACGCAGTTTATGAAAAAGTTCTCGACCTTTTTTTTAACTTGTCCTGGTATGCAGTAGATCCACGTACATACTGGTGTTGACACACAAAGTCTTTGAGATATCCTGGTTGCTTGCGCTTCCTCTTTGGTCTTGATTCTTCTTCCTTTCCTCTTTCATCCGTTAGCTTTTTGTTTACTGTAACATTATTTTGTTTCATTTTGGTTTCCCTTATGTTCCTGTCCGCCTCCTCTACCATCTTGCTCTCTGCACGATTGTCATCTCTCTCTGGAATACCTGACTCTGTTGACTCTCCATTGTTATCCTCGGTGTCTGTGTTATTTCCTTCCAAGAACATGCACTGCCTAATGAAGGTCCTGTGGACTGTGCACCTCTGTCCATCCTTCTCTGATATGATGTCATATACAGGTTGGTCTTTGTGTTTCTTTTCCACTCTATATGCTCCCTTCCATCYATCAGCGAGCTTGTGTCTTCCTTTTAAGAACCCTTTGGCAAGCATCAGCACCCTATCTCCTAGACAGAATTCTCGTCTCTTGACTTTCTTGTTGTAATTCTTTTGCGGTTTATGTCTTGTTTTCGATGCTGTCTGACCCGCAGCTTCATAACTCTGTTGCAGTCGATCTTTGAATTCTGACGTATAGTCACTGTAGTTTTGTTCTTCTTGCTCTTCATCTAAATCTGCTCCAAATGCTAGGTCTACAGGAATTCTGGTATGTCTGCCGAACATTAACTGATATGGTGAATATCCATTCGATTCATGAACGGTACAGTTATATGTATGTACCATTGTATCCACATGATCTTTCCAGTCAGTTTTCTTTGCTGGGTCCAAGGGCGCCAGGACAGACGGATTGGGTTTAAATATGTGCGATTGTTTCAGTTATTCGTAGATTTCTAATTGAATTGATATATCTTTGTTTCTAAATGGATACTAAATAGTGTTCACTTATCTTTCCAACCAACGGTCTTTCTGGTTTGAATCAGCCTTACGATATGAATATATTTACCACGTCCACCAACGGTCTTTCTGGTTTGAATCAGCCGTACGCTCTGAGTATTTACCGCTGCACTATCCGTGCCAAGCAGTGCTGGCGTCGCTTCGTTAGCGATTACTCACTCTTAATAAGTAAATCAAATTTCCCTTCAGTACAGTAAAATAGACCGGGGTAGGAAAGCAAGAGCGGTTCTTTTGTGCTCTCGTCTGCTCGGATAATCTAACCTCGAGTTCGTATTACGAAGAACGAACCGTGGTTCGGCAGTTCGTTTTGCGTTCGCCAAAGTCATATCTGTCATCTCTGTGTAAACAAAGTGCCCTATGTACTGCCAAAATAATTGGATTTATTTTAAATACTCAGAGCGTACGGCTGATTCAAACCAGAAAGACCGTTGGATGGAAAGATAAGTGAACACTATTTAGTATCCATTTAGAAACAAAGATATATCAATTCAATTAGAAATCTACGAATAACTGAAACAATTACACATATTTAAAACCCAAAACGTGTGTCCTGGCGCCCTTGTTCTACTGAGTTATCTTGTTTTATGAGTATGGGGTATTGGTTTGACTAACAAATATTGAAGTTAATCCGGAAACCAATAGAAATTACTCAGTTTACACGCTAGTGTTCTACTAGTTATCATCAACTCGTTCTCTATCCTGTTTGCTTTTTGAGTATGGGGTTTTAGCTTGGGGTTTTGAGTATGAGCTGTGTTGGGATTATTTAAGGCTAACTTGAATATAGGAGCAACAGGTGTTCTGCGCGCTACTGCAGACTCCCATCTCATCTATACAGCACAGTGGAGATCGCTGAGAATAAGATACTATCCCTGTGCGAAAGATCTGCTATCTTTACAAAATTGTCAAAATCAATTATCAGCAAAACAATGTGCGGGTTTTCCCTTATTAGTTACCTTCAAGCTCACAAGGAATTTTAAAATGGCAAGTTGTCAATTGAATAAAAAATAAGAAAGGAAAAAAAGGTATATAATCTTTTTTTTTTTTTTTTTTTGGCTTTCCAGTTATATTTATTTGTCTTAAATTCTCTTGCTTAGAATTTTGAAAT